ATAATCCAGGTTCTTGTGTTACATTACACACTCTATACACCGAATGGATTAAGCAGCTTTGCTCAGAAATGTACAGTTAGGATGAAAGATCTCTACCGCCCCAATTCAACAGCAACACAAAAATATATTTCATTGTGCAAATGGGAGGACGTGGACAACAATAATGACCTTTAACAAATGTCACTTTTCCAGACGAGTACCATCAATGGCTCAAACTCAGCAGGAGGGAAAGAAAGTGAACTTACTGGAAGTATTGTTTACACCACGTCCCCTAGTGACAATACAATAATTAGTGCTTGTAGAAGGACAGAGTGACAGAAGAGGACATAAACAGATCAGCTAAGCCTACCAGCTAAATGTCAGCTCAGACGGATGTGATACACAGGCCCTATATTGTACTGGAAAAAAAGGATCCATAGCAAAATGCATTATACTGCTTTTTACTTACGTAAATACAAGTGCTGTTATTATACGGTAGATGTGTCTTTAATATGTAACATATATTTATTTGAAATGAGTGATCGCATTGTCCGCCATTGTTTCCTATATTATTGTCCCAATATTTGTTTTTCATAGCCCTGATGAAGGGAGATTTGTGGCCCCCGAAATGTGTTGGTTGCCCTTTGTTTTCTCACTGCCACTTATGGAACTTAAAAACAAAATAAAAGAAAACCTTTAGAAAATTTTAGTTTGGTGCTCATTTTGGCTCAACTACACATGTAAGTATGATCCAACTGATCTATAAAACATACATGTACAGAACAATGGAGTGTGGATGCTTACAGGTTTGGTGCTCATTTTGGCTCAACTACACATGTAAGTATGATCCAACTGATCTATAAAACATACATGTACAGAACAATGGAGTGTGGATGCTTACAGGTTTGGTGCTCATTTTGGCTCAACTACACATGTAAGTATGATCCGACTGATCTATAAACATACATGCACAGAACAATGGAGTGTGGATGCTTACAGCTCAAAAAGGAGTGAGGGGGGGAATTGGAAGATATCTTCTGCATCAACCTCCATTAAAAGAAATGATACAGCATTTCCTCAAGATCATAGCAATCAATAAGAAATCAATTTAAATAATCTGCCTGCAATAAATCTAAATCTGACCTGCTTGAGCTAAAAACATTCTTGCGCTACCTTGCCTAGAAGTCTGGATTTAGGACAGGGCTGAACAAATCTCAGGAGCCAGGTCGCCAATGCTCCTTAAAAATACAGCCGCCACCTAACCTTTGAGGTTTTCTCTAGTCCTTTACAATGGAGCCGACTACTCAAGAAATCCTGCTGGCTCCTGGAGTGGACAGACTGGCTTAATTTGTCTGCAGAGAGACCGCCGCTTCATCACAGTGAGAAAATGGAAGGGATGGGCTTCTATACTCAGGCTGCTTTCTAAAAGAAAATGTTAGACTTGGAACATCTTGGCTCCTGAATTCCATATTAGTTTCTGCACCCCTGATTTTGGGTAATACCATTTAATTAACTAAATGGATTATAGTGCATACTTTTGAGGCACACTGGCCAGGTACTACTTTGTCAAAGGCTAACACAGCACAACTTTGCTGCTACCACCATGCTTTTTAAAGCAGGAAATCACCAAAAAAATAATTTTCCAGATAAAAAGGAACTTTAGAAAAGACAAAAAAAAAAAATCAAATAAAAAAAAAATCATGGCATTGGAAATGGAGGAACATTCTAGAATATATGTGTCCCATGATGCTATAAACACACAAGTGCATTTTTGTGCACAGACCATTAATTTTATTGGGCCCATATAAGGCCTAATAACACACAAAAAACATTGTACGTGCCATTTTTTTTAAAATACACACTAAGCTGCAACACAGTGAATCTGCTGCAAGGCAAAACATGTGAGATCTACTTGAAATGCATTTTCATCTAGTAGAATGTGTTTTACCGTGTGGTAAGCCTGGAGTAGGTCCCAATGCCTAGCAGGGTAAGGCTCAGCCCAAAGGCAAACAAACATGAGCCCTAAAAATAACAAACATTACGATGTCCCTGTGTAGCCGGCGGAAACACAAAAAAACTGACTTGGGATGGAAGGAGGAGTCTATTTATTTAATGTGGTTGATGTGTTTCCTGTTGCAGGCAGGCGGAGCCTATATCTCGATGGCTGTCCTGGAAGATGACTGGGGAAAATAGAAGTGTGAATGAGCCCTCAATTTCAGAACTACACAATGAAAAGTGTTCTAATTCTTTACTGACTTCTGCACCAAAGAGAACTTAGAAAAGGTTAATCAATGAAGATGAAGTAATTTTTAACCTAGTCTACCTACACCTCCCACTACCAACTGATTCAACCAAGAATGTAGCAAGCAGGACGGACTCAAGCTGCACAATGACTATAGGAGTTCATTACATGTTTATTGCTTTTGTATCCCACACTATCCACAGGATAAGACTCCCAGGCTGCTGGAAAGTAGAAGCGAGAACAGAGCTGTGGAGTTTCCAATAGCAACACAAATCCTAGTCTGAGGTGATCCTCACTGTGAGCTCAAGAGCCACCGTGCCAACCGCACACTTGTTCCTTACGCAATAACAAGGAGCTTTATCTTGTGGGCAACTAGGGAGTAGATGGTGGAGGGAGAGCTGCCACAGGATGTAGTGCAGACAACAGGGGACAGCTGTTATAGAATGTAGTGTTGAGTGCCAGAGATGCTTGTGCAGACAGTATGGGGAAAGCTGTGATGGAAGCATATGCAGACATTGGGGTACGAGGTGCAAAACAGGGGTGCACAGCGTTATTGCTGTGGACACTTTTGAACAAACAGTGTGTTTTGTGGATGTAAAGAATGATAAAAAAATATGTCTCAACCATAGCATGGTCACTACTAAGTGATCAATGTGTGTGTCCTTGTGATTTGTCAGCACTGCGGAGTAAAACTCTGGCCAGCATCTTATCTGAGATGCAACACATGCTCTTCTGCGCTTCAAAGGGAAATTCACAGTGTCTATTTATACCACACCAGGGAAGGACCGAGATACAGGTCCTATGGACAGCTGGACAGAGCTGAGAATATCATGTGCCGTTAACAGCTGGACAGAGCTTATCGCTCAAATATGGGCTCTGCTCTATGCTCTAAGCACTCCCAGAAAATGTGATGCAACCCCAGCCAAAACGGGAAGGTTCTTATGCATTTGTTAGAAAGGAAAACTAGCAATGCATTCCTTCACATTTGCCCAGTGCAGGTTTCTATCTACCTCATGCCACTTGAATGTTCTGTCTGTAAGATTGCACCAAACCAGTGGCCCCATATTACACAGCTCTAGGCAACAAGATCAAATCTTACCAAGAAATATGTTCCCGGTAAGGTAAACAAAGCATAGTAACTGCAGGCTCGATTTACTTGTACATATTTTGTGGGAACCCCCTTCTGTATAACTTTCTCAAATGTGAGTGAAATCATAAAAAGCATAATGTTTGCCGTTTACCTGGTGCACAACCTTGCACCAGGTAATCATCAGCACCCACTTTTACCAAGCCATCACAAAATGATGGACATGGGGGCACAAAGGTGGATATAGATGCAGAACATATGTATCTATTGTGGCAAATGACCTCAGGATGTACGTAGTTCTGGACAGATTTTATATGGTGCCTTGGCTGTGGGGTCTACATGAGCTAAGGAACACCACCTCCCAATAGAGTCCATATTGAAGGTGGTGTCTCTCAACATAATTGGTGTTAACAGAGGTAGGAAAGACCAACGTGGGTGTCTGCCACAAACCTCCAAGTTTTTTTCTTTGATTGCTTCTTGAAACAAGGACCAAGTTTGTTTACTGTGGTTGTCCATAGCCTGTCAAAGTCAATTTCTGTTTAGCTAGTGCTCAGATGAGCAGAATTTATTTTCAATTTCTAGGCTGTGTTATGTCATGTTTGAAATAAACCAAAAAGGCAGAGACCTGGACTTTCCATTTAACCTGACTCCTTTGTGGAGTTAACCTACTGCCTCTGCTCTCCCTTTGTTCCTGATTTCTCAGGACTAGGTCATGTAAATACTGAGTACTAATGTCTTACTAAGCTGTTACTAAGGGGTTCGAAGGAAATGTTTATAGTTTTTAAAACATACATTAAACAGTTCTCCAAGTTTAATTTGCTTGTGTGGATAAAGAAAGATGTGAATATCTGCAAAACTGACCAATCATGATCAACTCAAAATTCAGGTTAATGGATTCCCTCACCGCCATTGATGAGCAGAGAACATAAACCGGTCTTGTGAACAGGGCCAGATTTACTCTCTATGCTGCCCCAAGGCCAGGATCCTCTATGCGCCCCCTTCCCCGCTAACCAACCCCCCTTCCCCAAATGTAGAATGGCAATCAGGTGCCAGGGGCGGCAGGGTTAGTTTTAATTTTTGTTTTTACTTTATCACTTTTTGTTTTACTTTTTTTATTATTTATCTTATTATTATCTTTTTTCTAATGTTTTATCTAATTTTTTACTTTAATTGTTTTTTTACTTATTTTTGTCTTAATTTTTATTTTATAGTATATATTTTTTTAGTTTAAATTTTTTTCACTTAACTTTATTGCCATCACACAGGAGCTAACAAGCAATACAGGAATTCTAGCACAGCACTGTGCTAGAACTCCTGTGACAGCTGAGACAAGAAAGCGGGGAGTGCAGCTCTCCCGTCACTGTTTACACGGAGCAGATCAGAGAACGGACATTCCCCATCCTGAAGAGAGGATCTCCGGCGGGCGGGGCGAGAGATAGCCAAGTAGGCTGTATACAAGTGATCTCGGCGACATCGCCGAGATCACTTGTTATCGAACGAGCGGCTTCGCGGCTGTACATTTAGCCCTGCTTGCCCAAACCAGAGCTAAATGTAAAAAACAGCTAGCCGCCCGGGAAACTGCATGTCCTGGGCATCGGGCGATAGCAATCCCTGCCGCCCCTCTGCTCCCTGCCAAATCCGGCACTGCTTATAAATGTAGAAAACAAATCCGAAGTAGAGAGAGCAGAACCAGCAACCAAAATTTGCCACTGAAGTTAGAGCAGTGAAAGATGAATTGTGATTGGTTGAAGAGCTACTGTACCTTACCTTTTGTTTTATTGTATAAACTTACAAGTAGGATTACTGTAAGCTTACGGGAAATTTTATATGTATGGTGTCCTGCTCTAAAAATTCTGTCCATACACAGTCAAAATGCAAGTTTAGTGTCCAAGCTAAAAAGCAAAATGGGAAGAAAGAGTGGTGTCCACCTAATTATCAGATATTTCATCCTCATTATCAGCAAATAAAAAAGGTATGACATAAGCTTCATAGGTACTTGGTATACGTGTTCTGATTGCCCACTATGAGTTACATCACTTATGATCAGATCATCACATGATAAATACCTTCCAGCCTCTGAATTTTTGCTTTAACGCAGGCCACAGTTTCAAATGGTGACACTCTCAGCTCAAAGCAAGTCCCCGTCAAAGTTTCAATGAAGAGTTCCATTGTGAAAGGTCCCTTGCAGAGCAGCGATCCATCTTTATCTTCATTAAAAAAAGGAGGTTCCTTTTTGTGTGTCATTGCATAGTATATAAAATATGGAATGAGCAGAATTAAAATTAGGAAACCTCAGGCCCGAGGAGTAACGGCTTGTTATAGCTGTTCATCTTTAAATAAAAAAACCTAAAAAAAAGATATAAAACCAAAATGTTAGGCAGAAAATAATATACGGCCTTGACATATTATAGTCATGAGAGACAGTAAACAGGCCATGTTTTCTCCACTCCCAGGTAGCAGCAAAGGCAGATGAACTGGTGACATTGTGAGGGCTTGTGTGGAGGCAGCTGAGGCCTAGTAATAGCAGGGCTCTGTTACTATAGAGAGAAGTGGAGATGTGCTGATGTAATCTGGGGGCTTTATAAAAACAAGAAGGCCATGCACCTTCTATGAACATGGCAGCTGCCAAATGTAGGGTGTGGCAACCTGCATTTGGCATTGCCTGTGTAAACAGTAGACTCACTGCCTGGATATATCACACCCAAATACTACATAAACACAGCCAGCATAGCTTGAGCTTACTAAGCAACCCCTGATGCTGTAGGACATTAGGCTCCCTGCCCAATAATAGACCTTGTTGGTGAAGGAAATTAGGTTGCCCCTGAATGGCAATTAATGGAATTTGTTGGTGTTGGACATTACATTCTCATTTGATGCCCATTAATAGACCATGATGGATATTAGGCTCTCTTTGGATGCCCATTGATGAACCTTGATATCGATGGATAGTTGGCTCTCTTTTGAAGCACAATTAATGGAGTGATAGTGATGGACATTAGGCTCTCTCTGGATGCCCATTATTGGACCTTGATGGTGACAGACACTAGGCTCTCGTTGGATGCCCACTAATGGACATTGTTGGTGATATATTTAAGGATCTCAATGGATGCCCATCAATTACCCAAAAAATGATGGACATGTAGCTCCCTTTGGATGTCCTTTAACAGACCCTGGTGGTGACAGCCATCATCCATTTCCTGGATGCCCATTAGTGAACCTTCATCCCCATATACCCTCAGCCAAATAGCCTTGCATTCATTTCCTCAATTGTGAGTCTAGGAAGAGAGCTGGGAAAAGGCACCATATGGTTACAGCCAACCAAATTATTAAAACACCAATGGTGACATACGAAAGTCAGAGCAAAGAAAAATGAAACAAAAGTACATCAGCCAGCCAAGCTTCCTCTTTCAAATGAAACATATTCCTTTGGTGGATAAAAGCTCCAGTGCTGCTTTCATGATCAGCCCTCTGGTTATTTACAGAATATAACACTCTGATTCATTCTATGGATAATTACAGTAATATTCCCTTAACAAGGCAATCAGGCCTCCAAAGCTTGATGCTCATCACATCTGTCTTACTCTGCAACGTCGGAGAATCTGTTTATTTGTAAGGGGAACTGAGGCAGTTAGTATACTTACAGCACAATTTGGCAGGGATATGGATGCAAAGGTTTGCAGTTTTTGCCTGCCACCGTAAATCCCAAGGCAGATACACGCCTATATACCGAAGAGAGGTGAATGGAGGTTCTCCTACACCAAAGATCACCATCAAAAGAAAGCAAACGGTGGTCAAATATTGACCCAATGCTTTTGTATAAGGAAGCTAAATGCTGAAACCCCCCACAAGTAAACAGATCTTTACACCAATAAAAACAAACGATGTATTAGAAGGCCAATGTCCAAAATACTGAAACATCATGAATAAAATTAAAGAGGATATCCAGGATTTTTTCACATGAACCCTTTCAATGGGGCTACCCCTGAATTGCAAGAATTGAGCGCTCATGGTTGGCTGATCCATGGCTTAGCCAAGGCACTTCTTCCAGATAAACAGCGAAACATCTTCAAGATTACAGAACAAGTCCAGTTAAACGTGACCCACTCGTACTAACTATGACTTGGATAAATGAACCTTCACAGACATAGGATGTCCCGGAATGTTTCCTTTTATATTGATAATTTTCTAAACAACAAATGACGCTCAAACCTTTGTCACAGTAGAAAAAAAAAAAAATCTTACTGGGATTCTATAATAGCTCACAAGCAACATATTTCTCTATGTCTGTTGCAGAATATAATGGATGAACAAGATTATTATATTGGTAATTTGTAGTTTAACCTCCCTGGCGGTCTGAATATGTCAGTCATTTTTCTTTCTATTTTTCACTTTTGAATTTCCCGCCGGTTCCGCCCCGCTCGCAGGGATGGAACCCGGAATCGGCCGGAGGACACAGCGGGGCTAGTAGGGACAAGGTAAGTGACGCTACAGTGTAAACCCGAGTGTGGCTTGGGGTTACAGCTTTTGGTACTTAAAATTAACCCCGAGCCACACTCGGGATTACCGCCAATCTCAAAATAAAAACTTGTAAGGAAAATGATTGATTAGACTGAAATGTACACTGGTTTAAAGTTACATGTAGACAGACCTGAAACACAAAAATAGCCCTGGCATATAAACAATGCCCATTCATATTCATATGTGGGTTACCAAGCACATTGGAGCAGGGATACACACACACAGATATAAATCATCATTAATGTACCACACAGTCTGTGCAGAGAGCACAGCTGTTGGAGGGACCCAGAAGCTGTGCCCACACAAGGCTGCCTGCAGAAAAATACAGGAGAGTGCGGAGACAAGACCAGCCATCTTACACAAGGAGAGAGAGCAGCAGTGACCGGCCTTTATTACAGGAAGCTCCTTCACAGGAAACGTGTAATGATAGATTATAGCACAGATCAGGAAGAAATACACAAATCACACCCAGATTCAATTAAGAATACACAACTCTTATATTTAGACAATGTTTGCTGATCCTGGAGTTCAGGTTTGGACAATTGTGATTATACAAGGCCTCATACACACAGGCTTCTTGTGGTAAACAGGAGAGATGTTATCTGGGAAGTATAAACAACTTTTATTACTCTTTCCTGTGTTGAGCAGAGTATAACCAGGCTATGTGCTCCCAGGACACAGAAAATCCTTGTCTGTGTGAATGCAGCTAGGTCTGAATGTATAAGTGTGAGCGCCAACAGTGTGCACAGTGCTTTACAATATAAGGAAGACATTACTGTTATAAAACAAAATCAAGACAAGATGGTAAGGAGGGCCCTGCAATCTAAAAGAGAGGCAAGTTATCACTTCATGTTAAGTTGACCCTACTCATGTAAATTGGCTGAACTTCAAGCCATGCCCTGCCAACACCACTCAGCTTAACAAACTTCAAATGATAAGTCAAAGGAGCCAGGCAGAAAAAAATGTCAGCCAATCAGCTGCAGCCACTGTTTGGGTGTTCTGACAGCTGTGAATGTTGGCTGTCTGAATACAACAGCCAGCAAGGGAAAATTCCTTCATCTACATTGTTTACCATAGATGGGGGGAATCAAATGATTTACTTGTTGAGCCTAGGAGGGGGATCTTTACATGCCAGCATTAGTCTGGAGCACAAACTCCCCCCAGGTCAAGATATCTGTAAGCAAAAAAAGCCTTTGCAAAAGCAAGACCCTCCATCTGTAAGATAAGGATGAGATCCCGATATTCCAATTTCGGCTTTTCTGCACTCATGATCCCTCTCCAAAACAGAAGTTAATTCCCCTCTATTTCGTTTTCCTGTGTTGACCAATCATTGCATATGTATGTGTGGGGCCCATTGGCATGAAAGAAAGTGTGCAAGATAGTCATAGACAAACGTTTGCCATGTTTGAATGTTTATTTAGGAAGATCACAGTAATCGGTGTTGTTCCAATTTTTAAATATTAACATCAATAAATGTAAACTTTTCTACTTGAATATCTGTCCCGGTCTTCTTGGTAACAACCTTTCCAGTGATTCTTCATCACTGGATTTCTTTTTGCAAGATATCTGTAAGGCAGGGGTGGGCAACAATGGCCCTTTAGCTGTTGTGGAACTACAAGTCCCATGAAGCATTGCAAAAATGACAGTTACAGGTATGACTGTCAGAGGCATATTGGGATTTGTAGTTAAAGCACACCCCTGCTGTATAGAGATCCAAAAATGTTTCCAAGGCTTGGATCTGCTGACATTACATCTATGGAGAGTAAGGAGGAGCAGAAGACAATGCTGGTCTATCAGGTAACATGCCCATTCCCTCATTACCTTCTGGGGACTGTTACCAGATGGATAGAGTGACTGTCATGTCTATAGGTCCCTTAAGGGCCCGTTCACACCATCTCTGTGCGATTAACACACCTCTGCGATTACAGTGCTGGAGGTGCGTTGCACCCCAAACACACCTCTCGCTCACAGTGCGATCGGCAAATGCCGCTTGGAAAGATAGTGCATGTACTATTTTGTTCAATCGCAACGCACAGTATTTGCGGTACCGCGCGCTGTGGTGCGGCTGATCGCACTGCAAGCGGGAGGTGCGTTTAGGGTAAAATTTCAATCTATGGCATGCAACGCATCTCCCGCACTGTAATCGCACGGAAGGTGCATTGTGCTGTACCGGGTGTTAATCGCACAGAACCATGCGATTAAAGCACGGAGGTGGTGTGAATGGGCCCTTAGAACAGAGGTGAGCAAACTCCCGCCCTCCAGCTGTTGTGGAACTACAAATCTCATGAAGCATTGCAAGAGTCTCACAGCCACGACTCCCCAGAGACAGATGCATCATGGGATTTGTAGTTTCACCACAGCTGAAGGGCTGGAGATTGCCCACCTCTGCCAATGAGAGGTCTTTGCAGATTGGTTCCATGACAGATACAGCAAACCAATGACTGAACGGGAACGTCCAGAACGCGGCATGTGTCCCCATGTGACTAGGGCCCAGGATTTGGAACATCTTTTGTTTTGATGCACCCGGAATGTACTTAGCTGAGCTTTAATGTAGATGCAAACGCCAACTGAACGACATTTCGTTTGATAAAGTATAGAGCTTTGTAAACAAACAAAACTGCCTTTTTTTTGCTAATAAAATACTTTTTTTTTTTCCATCTCAGGACCTCCGGCAGCTTCTGTCAGACCTCACCAGTCTATATGCACTCACCCCCCCCACTGGCTGCACATCATAAGCCTGGATTGGGTGCTGTTGATGACAACAGATGGCCGAGCCTGCACAGCGTATGCTAAAAACAGCCCATCTCCAATGGAAGCCATGTGACAACGGAGCTGGGAGACAGACACAGAACGTTGTCACCCCATAACAGGAACCGTCATGGCATGAACACCTCTTATTATTTTACTGAAAGCTGCAGATTTAAAACATATTGATGACGTTACATGTTAAAGCTTTTAGGAGAGCTGAACTCCAGGAAAAGTAAATATTGTGCAACTACAAGAGTTGTGTGTATTCTTACTAGAATCTTGGTGTCCTTTGTGCATTTCTTCCAGATCTGTGCAGTAATCCAGTGTGAATCTTTCCCTCTGTACAGAAGCTTCCTGTAATAAAGACCGGTCACTGCAGCTCTCTCTCCTTGTGCAGGGTGACTGGTCTTGTCTCTGTCTCCCCCCCCCCGTAGTTTTCTGCAGGCAGCCTGTAGTAGGTGGAGCTTGCTGGACCCCTCCCACAGCTCTGCACTGGTTACGATGTCACTTCTACAAGGCAATAACTGGGTGTGTAAGGCATTTGGTGCCCACAATGTGGATTTATATGCTTTGGCACTGAGGAATATATTTAAATAAAAGTTTTTGTACCCAGAGTTCAGCTTTAGGTGACAGTGATTACAATGTGCAGCAACGCATGTTACACGTGTTGCCACTCACTAAATGGCTCCCCATCGCACTAAGGCAATGCAGCTGTGTTGCAGCGCACGCTGGTGTGTTAAAAATGTAAAAAAAAAAAAGGGTCAGGGGCAATAATTGACGCATTTCGGGTGCATTGGCAAGCCAATATTTGGAATGTGCATTAATGCAAATATGTAAATGGGTTTATACTCTTTACCAGATGACTGGCCACACACACACAGCCATTGCAGAGACAAGTCACACCAGCTCTGGACTGCACACAATGGAAGACCTGGAATAACAGAGATATCCCATCACCAAGGATAACCATGACCACCACTGTTGATACACTGAATAATCTTCCTCCATTGTGAAGCATGGGTCCGACCTGCCAGGTGGGGGGGGCACTCTGCATGTGTCACCAATCTCCATCATGGGGGCTCTGACTTACTCCGGAAGGGAGGGATACAGGTGTCAATCAACTGATCGTACCCCATCACAATGGCACTGGGGTCACACTCGGATGTTACGAGCGATGTGGCCGATTTACTAACAATGGGGGGGCACAGGGCAGTCACCACTGATCTCGGGGACATTTCCCACCATTGCTGTGCAGAGTGTCTGAGTTTAGGGGAGGTCATGACCTACCTCTGCATGTCTGTCTGCAGGTCACCCAGCGGGGGGCACACGGATGGGAGGCTACATTGCTCTCAGTAATGAGGACACCCGGCACATCGCTCTCCCGGCACGGCTGCCCAACACCGCCTGCTACTAACACTCGCTCATCGCCCCCCGATTGTTAGCAGTCAGTGCACCCCACTCCACCTTCCCCCGCCCCAGCGACTGACCCGGAGCTCCGCCTTCTTTCACCGCCTCTCCTTTGTGACGATCTAGACTGACAGGTTGGCTGGCCATTCACTACCGAAAGCGAGGGACAGCCCCTTTTCTCCTCAGCGGCAGCCAATAGGGGAGGTGGGTGGAGTTAGGCAGACAGTACACGGGGCAGTGGCCAGAAAAAAGGCGTGACTGTAGATTCTGTTGTTGTTACGGCACGACGCGGTGTCCTTAGTAACTGGGCTCATGTGACTTCGCTCTACAGCTGAGAAGGGGGCGGGTACTGTCGGGTCAAATGACCGGTGAGAGATGGCCGCAAATTCTTTCTAATAATGGCTGTCGTAGGAAATCCTATTCTAAACGAGCCCTGCTTTCCGGTCTTGTAGGCCGAGGAGGATTTTCCACTTTGTTAGTTTTAGTTTTTTTTAACTAAAAAGATTAAACTTTGCTTTAGATTACACTGGAGCTAGACGGAAACAAAAACTGCTCAATGTTTTACTGCCACTTCAAAAGTAGAAAGCCTGTGCCTTGCCAGATGCAGACTGGAACCCTTGCTCTGTATGGGAAGCAGTAGTCTCTCTGCAGTTGTCTGACATCAGCAAAGCTCATGCTGCCTGCTGATTGGAGAGCTCTGACACAGCAAGGGGAGTGTCCGACCTCTGCAGCTACATCACTGCTTCCCCATGCAGAGCAAGGTCCTTTACTGCAGCATGCTGGCAGAACAGGCTTTGCACTCACCCTCTAAGCCAGTGGTTCTCAACCTTTCTAGGGCCGGGACCCCTTGGTAACATTTGCCAAGTTGTGGCGACCCCCAAAGGTAAAATTTAGGGATGACCCAGCTGCTGCAGCGACATATGGAGGCGTGGCAGGAGAACTGACACTGCTGCGCTAGGAGAGAGCTGAGGAGGACTCTCACCTTGCACAGCGACCCACTGCTATAGGCAAAGACAGGACCGGGCTCTGCCACTGGAACTAGAAGAATTGGATTTAAAGTGTGTGGCTATATAACGTATGAGGTACATACTCCGCAGTACTGTCACTGATAGGGATGGGCTCGGGCGTGTTCCCAGCTCCACGTGCCGAGCCCGCCAGGAAGCTGACAGCGCGCAGTGTCAATCACCGCCACTGAGACATTGCCCGATCTCTGCAGCTGCGGACCGGGAAAATGGAATGCATAGCTAGAGGTGTGTTTTACATATTTTTTTTGCTTGAATACATATTGCTGCTGTCAATCACTAGAAGGGGACCTGGTGGAGAACTTCAGGTCCCCCTCTGCTGATTGGCAGCATCAGAGGACTGTTGCAATAGGTAGTTGGCTATTGGCTTTTGCAAAGTGAAATAGCCAATAGGAATCTAGCTATGCATTCCTATGGTGGTTTTTTTTTTTTTTCTGACTAGGCGACCCCTGGCAAATCGTCATTCGACCCCCGAGGGGGTCCCGACCCACAGGTTGAGAACCACTGCTCTAAGCGCTACGTTTGCACACGTTCTGCAACCTCAGTGCCAGGTTTGCACTCACCCCTCACCCTCTTAGCAATAGGTTTGCACTCGCCCCTCACCCTCTTAGCAATAGGTTTGCACTCGCCCCTCATCCTCTTAGCAATAGGTTTGCACTCGCCCCTCACCATCTTAGCAATAGGTTTGCACTCGCCCCTCACCATCTTAGCAATAGGTCTGCACTCGCCCCTCACCATCTTAGGACCAGTTTTGTAACTGCACTGCACCCTCCACTCTCTTAGCGCCAGGTTTGCACTGGCCCCACACCATCTTAGCGCCAGGTTTGCACTTGCCATCCACAGGTGTAAACAATAGCCTGCAGGGGAGACTAGTACATCCACGCTGTTTAGCATGAATGTGGAACCCAAGCATTTTCCAACCCCACTACACTATGCCTGAATGGCCAGCATTACTCATTTATTAGTCACAGCGGGGTATCAACAATCAGGTGTGCACTAACATTGAGCTGGAGTAGCCTCCCCTATCATGGTCAGTTCCTAAAACTGCTGCTGGAGTTTCAGTGTTGTGAAACTTTGACCTAGTTTTCTATAAACCTCAAGCTTAAGCTTAACATACAGGTTATAATACGATCATACAATATTTTTGCAATCAACTATAATATTACTGGCTGATATTAGGACCTACCTAATCTATCCGAAAAATTTGTATTAAATCTGACAGACCCTTGCATTACATACCTGTTAGTAGATCAAGAGTAAAGTTTTCATCTAGATTTTTACTTTTCAAATGAGGAGCTCAATGAGATCTACCAACGAAAAAAAAACAACTGCAATCAAGCCCGGGAGGGGGCGTGGCAGTGCATTGAAGTCAATGGTACCGCAGCCACGCCCCTCACCCGCAGTGCCATTGCCCGCACCCAGAACGCATGCACATTAGTGCCTGGGTTTCCGGTCCAATGTGATCTGCAAAAATGCAGGGGGACAGATAGGCCTTTCTCACCCCTCTTATGAGTATTGGTGCACTTTTGTGCCCAAGGCAAGAGGGGGAAAGAAAGAGAAGAAGAAGAAACAACAAAAAAAGACCCCCCCCCCGCATTCAGAAAATATTTACTATCATCCAGTTTCTGAATGGGGAGAATCCTCTGTACTGAGTGCTACTCCCCATTGAGAAACTCATGAATGAAAAGGAAGTGATGTAAAAGCACTTCCTGTTCATTCATAACTGGGGACCAATTGTAAATAATGAGGGACACATATTACTAACACTGGAGTGATCAGCTGATCGCTCCAGCGTTTGCTCTGCACAGAGGATCGGAACATATCACTGATATGTACCGATCGGCCACACACACGGGGGCTCAGCCTGCAGCTTTTCCTCTGGATCCCCGCTGCTTTTCCCCCGCCTGTATGCAGCTGGGATCCGAAGAGAAGTGAAGGAAGTGCTGCAGCCGTCAGAGAAGGGAGCCGTTGTCGTGGCAGCATGGCCTAGCGGTGAGGAGAGAAACGCCTGTCAGATCCTGGCCGAGCGTCTCTCTCCTCACCATTCGGCCATGCTGCTTTGACAGCGACTCCCTCCTCCGTTCCCCTGCCACCGGCTGCAGCGCTTCATTTCTCCTTGGATACCTGCTGCATACAGATGGGGAGAGCAGCGGGGATCCAGAGTAGAAGCCCCCCATGGCGGGAGGACAGGACACAGCCGATCGCGATCTACCAGTATTCGCTTTGCGATTGACTGGTAGATCGTGATCGACCCAATGGGCACCCCTGGTTTAAAGGAATGTGTAAAATGATTGTAAAATGTGCGGTATCATCATTGCACTAAACATTCTTCTCTCCTGTGTACCGAAGCTACCCGATGTGCAACAATGGTCTACAATAGATTAATATCCTGACTGGGTTAGGGTATGAGCAGTATGCATAACCTAGCCTGGTCATATTATTCTATTGGGGCTCATGCACACAGGTGCACTTAGGGGTGTATGATATAAATGTGGGCTATTTTTAGCACCGGGGACTACACAGCCACCCATAGATATAGAAAGTCTGTGTTTGGGAAATACGTCTGTAGATACCAGTGTATACCTATACCCGTGTACAGCCATTCACATCTATGGGTGGCTGTGCACACAAGACAAGAAGACCCGAGCATTGAAAAAAGCCGACATTTACAATGTATGCCCCTAAATGTATCTGTGTGCATGGGCCTTTATAGCTGAATGCCCAGTGAAAGCTGCAATACACAGGGGAGAAGAGTCATCTCATCAGTATGAGTGTGCACAAGCATCTGCCCAAGAAGAAACGAAACATACTTTTGTCTGGAAACACAAGGGGGAAATGTATCAAATCTGTAGCAGGTGCTCATGGCAACAAATCAGCTTCTCTTCAGTCAAACTCAAGTTAAAATGAAAGATAGAAGCCGATTTGTTGCCATGGGCAACTGCTCCAGTTTGGATCAATTCCCCTCTATGTGTCCTCAGCTTTGTACATATGTTTGTAGAATTACGCTAATTAATAATGAGAGATTTACAAAGCTCCCGTAGACTGTGGTTGGGAGACACTAATATTAATAACAGTTCTTCCTCTGCAGATCTGTATAAATTCTTTAATCATTTCTTTTTTTTGTACACAACAATGTAATCTTTCCAAATGATGCAGACAACAAAAGCTACACCAGGTTAGAACAATGTATTTATTTATATTTTAACGCCCAGTTAAAATGACTTTGCAATATCATTTACTGTACTGTAGATTTTATTTCAGTATGGATAAAGATGGAAACATACACGAGGTCAATAAAGTCTTTTGTAAACTATATACCTTGCTGATCTGAATGTGAAGGTCATCTGACTGCAAAAAAGGTAAATGGACACATTTTCTATTAAGTTTGGAAAATAAGGGAAGACTTCTTAACGTCTTATACTTAACAGTCAAGTTGTTGACAGCGTGAATCAACCTGTCATGACAGAAATGAGGAAGTGGCCACTGCCGATTACAGGTTGTCACGCTAGTCCTAAATCTACTTCATAGTGACTGGAACAAGTATAGAAGGTGCCAGGACACTTTGCACACGCTTGTTTTGGTGCGGTAAGAAGTAGTCAAGCAAGAATAAAAGTGTGGTATACACGCAACATTCGATAATGCCATCAGGGGCTTGGTGACTGTTTGAAATTTCAATTGATTTTCTTTTCCACTTAAACATTTGATTTTGGAAAGAAAGAATGGAGTTTACACGTTTTTTTTCCACGTACAAAAAATTTCCAACATGCGCCTTTCATTTTTTTCCTCATTGCGGTCGAAATCAAGCAGTTTGACCCGATCAACTATTAGAAAGTCGAACAAGAATTCCAAAATTGATTTTGTTCATTCAAAATTCTAACTGGGAATACCCTACTTAATGATGACAGTCCCAGAGTCTGCAGCTGCTAAAACAACTCAGCAGTGCTAACTCTAAGGCCCCAGTCACACTTGCGGCACACATTTTGCCATGCATTAGCCCATTCATTTCAAATATAGCACACTTCATGTTTTGGCCATGCGTTTATTGTGCGTCAATGCATAGGCAAGACATGTTTTTCCTGTCATTTTTGGGGCACCATTAACAAGTAATGGCACAGCAAACGCATGATGTGTTTTTCCCACGTTGCGTGAACATGTGGCATGTGTTCACAGGCACAGCAAGTGTGAACGTGGCTGGGGGGGGGGGGGGGGGGGAAGGTAGAGTGGCATTTGTGATGCCATAGAAGTTGTGAGACAAAGTATAAGAACAGTATGCAAGCTGGCCCATAACCATTGCATTAGGCTTGAGAAAAAAAGAGAATGCATTCAAATAACAGATTTGACAAAAATACATAAAGAAATAACACCAATATATGGTTACTAGTTCCTAAAGCGAATCTGTGTTTTACACATGCAGGGCACAACAAGTATGTTTTAATGTCACCCTCCCCTGCAGCACATACTTAATGTTACTTCACTTTCCCCAATGTTCCGTCCAGGGAAGAAAACACAAGTGCTAGCGGGTAAGAAGGAGCATGCAGCTCAATCCTCCTCCTTTCATGTGACAGTGCTAGCACTTGGATCATATGAGGGCTACTAGAGAGCCCAAAGCCCTGGGTAAGCAACAAATAGTGACTGATTGTACTTAGGGCTTCTTTTCCATGCGCTCATCAGATGAGCAGAGCAATGGAAGAGTGAAGATAAGGTGAGCATGTGATTGGACAGTAAAAGAAGAAACAGCAGACAGATATACTTATTTCTCTGCTCCTCCTAACAGCATGTTCCTTGTTAGCACACGTGCATTGTAGCACAACTGACTGGCTCCCTGTGCTGCTTCTCTTGCCCTACTCTTGAGCTCCTCTGTACAGTGAAGAGACTGATACCAAGTCAAATTCTTCTTGTATTTATAGAAAATATAAATGTAATTATGTATTATTGAATACAGACTTGCATCATTTTTTATATCTGCATGGGACGTCAGCTTTAAGCCCCAGTGTCACAGGAATCACAGGAGACTATATGGCTTCTATCTTCCCATTTGGATAATCTATCTGGTAAAATCTGACACAGAGCTGCCATTGGTGCAAGGAGCTTTAGAACAATTTACTTTATCTGTGTCAGAAGTAGGAATTGAATATTACAACAATGTATTATTTAATAAATCATATTCTTCTCCCATAATCTCTCCACGTTTAATCAGTACTGTTCTGATCTCACAAATTAAAAGAGAACGTCAGACATTACTGTATGAAGATTTCTGTAATTGTTCTAGCCAATAAGCAGAGTGATTTGTGTTTTTACTTATATCTGAGTTTTGTGGCCTTACTTTGCACTGGCACCAGGTTATCTGCGGGATTCATGCAATATCATTTGATCCAACAACTGACAGGTAGATATTGCTGACTGGAATTTTCTAGAGACTTCACGAGAATGGATAATCATTTAGCACAAATATCCATAAAGTTCATGGAAAAAAATATCACGGGAAACCCGTAAAAATGACAGAAGTGCACTAAATGCTAAAATGATATCCATGTCACAATGTCTGCTATAACAAGCTCTCTTTTGGGGTTCTTCTTTAAAGGGTTAGGGCTTTTCCCCATAGTTCTCCTTATGGTAACGGGAGGACACAAACTAGCGTCCTCCCGTCACCCTAAGCTCAGTATACTGCGAGCTACAGCTCCCGATGCCGCAGCTGAAGCGGATCCCGACAATTATGTCTGGATCCGCCCAGCTGCGTGACAGCTGGCTCTGCCTATCTAGAGGCAGAGCCAGCTGTACCCGCCCTGTCCGTTCCGCCAGTCAGCGCTGGAGTATCGGAGCAGGGAATCCAGCCCTCCCGTCAGGGCAGACAGGATGGAGAAAACCGGTATGTGTTCGCTCACTTCCCGATCTACTGAGCCGACCTGTGACAGTCTCATTGTCACAGGTCGGCTAGAACTAGGAGGTGAGTGAAAAGCACTCACCTCATAGTTCTCCTTTACAGGAACCCTGTACAGAAAGAAATACAAAGGCTGCCATTACTAGCCTTCTTCTGAGAATGTTAGTAGCCTTGCTGGCTTCACATACATTAGAAAGTCAGACCTGATCTGTACCGCTTCTCTCGGGTCATAAACTCATAGTACTAGAGTCTACATTGAGTGTTTGAGAGTCAAAGCTTCAAGATCAGAATGGCAGTTAGGCAAACAAAACGAAGGCTAGGTTAGCAATTTCAGGCTCTATTTTCTTAGCACAGGTTTGGTTTAAAGCTGAACTCCAGCCTTACCTTTAGTCTTGCACAGTTGTACAGGGTCCTCTTACTTTGATTCCTTTGCACATGGAACTTCTCACAGTGTACATTGGAAGCTGCATGTGAGGACATCCAACTTCATCTAATCCTTCCCAGGCTGATGGATCTCTGCACCACCCATTTTATTCATTGGATTTTACTTATTTCAATCATGGAGGCTCGGCATCACTCACCATGTGCCCATTACTTAAGGAGACCTGTATGCAGATGCAGTCTACCTAGTATTGCACACTCATCCAAACAGATCTCCACCCATCGAGGCATTTTCATATTTGAAAAACTCCTCCCAAGAGTCAGCGCGTTGCTTGCATCAGAGCGGAGGGCTCTTGAGGAGTACTAAGACAGAGTGCTTGATGTTTTTAGGAATAAAGTAGTACAGCACCCTTCCGGCCCTCCCACCAATCATGATCTGCCCGAGTTGTATAGCGCAGCACAGAGATCCAGTGATGACATTGCTGGGTCTAAAACAAGGTATGCAATGAAAACACAAAGGATTCATTAAAAGATTTTACTAGCATGTTGATAAGGGGGAAAGGAGGAACCAGGGAAAGCAAAATATAAGCAGATTAAACTTCAGCTATGGCTGACTGCCTAAGTGATCTAATGTAACCATTCTGTTCTCGAGTCATCAATGTTGTCCAGTTTCCAACTTTATCCATAAAAGTTTTGCCGCATATTTTTAACCGCAGTCATTTCAAAACAACGGACATACAAGAGAACAAAGAGGCTGTCCTGCTGTGACAGCACATCAGAAACAAGTAAACTGCTCTCGGTGGTATAAAATCCAACTGGGTCACTAATACAATAATATACATTTTGCTAAAGTATCGGTGCATCTAAGGTAAACTCTACAGAGCACATAGGCAGTGGAATGTCTTCAGAAGAGATGTTTCTGTACCAGCCAGTCTTGCAGTATCCTGTCATTTTAGAGCCCCTGTCAAGTAGCTTTAACAAGGCATGAATGTTTGGCACAGACATATAAGTGCTTCAAAAGAAATAGAACAGGTATGTTATGCTGCTTCAGCTTGTATGTACAATATTGACTACTGTTAATATGTATTGTATGATAAGCCTGAACATGAGACTGAGCAAACAGCCTCTCTGCAAGGGTAGTTCTTCATTTACCCAGAACATTTAATGGATCGTCAAACATGGAGGAAACTTTAGTGTCCTGCTTGGTGTCGGATGTTGGAGGAGTGGACTTGGCTTTTGGTTTACTTTTCTTTGTGCTGGAGGCAGAGGTCGAAAATATATCATCTGCATGGGAGCAAATACATAATGAATGACTTTTGTTATTAAAGTACAGTAAAAAGGTAGATTTTTTTACAGATCCTACTATTAATTGAATATGGCCTTGCAGCTACATCAGATGATCCTACACTGATGGACGCCAAGCAGATCAAAACTGACAAACATCAGAAGGATAAGTACAGGCTAAAAACTAGCTACAGACATTGGACTCTAGCACCCTCACACTAGACCTCCAGCACCAGATATCTCAGGGGAATACTGATTGGCCCTCATCTTTCCCCACCTAAGACAATACCTGGAATGTCTACTAGGACTTGAAAGTGCCTATATACAAAGAATCTGGCAGGCTCAGACAACAGCCTTGTAATCTCCTTCTGAACGTTAAAGTAAACCTATGATGAAAAAAATATGGGAACTGCAAATGCTTACTTCCTGAAAATACAAGCTCCCTGGCTATTATTCGGAACCTTTGCCAAGTACGCAGATACGCCTAGTCATTTGCAAGAGAGCCACCATGACAGCTAAGCAAGTTGAATTTTCTGTGGGGTTAAGCAATGGCAGTCTCTGCGTTTCTGTAATCGCCTAGTCTCCTAGTTTACACTGGCTTCACCTTGACTATATCAGTCTGACCAGCAGTATGTACACCGGACAAGGTTATTCACAAAAAGGTGAAGCGTTTGGAGAAGGCAGGAGAAGTGAACAATCTAGGACAACATAGCTGAACTGGAAAGTGAGCTGAATTGGAGAATTTTTCCCAAATCGGCTATTTTGTCCTAGATTGTTCACTTCTCCAAACTCTTCACCCTTTTGTGAATAACCTTGCTAGTATTTACATAGTCTTTAAAAAACTGTCAAGATGCTTGTTTTGCCCTTTTAGTTATAGTCTTGTACGTGCTGAATACATATCTTAAAGTGACATTAAAGCCAATTTTTTTCCACTTCCCCCCCAATGCTAATTAAAGCACTTACCTTAATGACGTCTCTTAATCTGATCTTCTCCTTTCCCGTCCTTTTCAGCCTTCTCTCCAGCGCTGCGGTGGGTCTCCGATCCAGCGCTGACTCCTCTGAGCTTGCTGGCACTTCCTATCCCACGGTGCCTGCATGCGGGTGCATGGGTCCATAGACTTAACTTTCGTCTCTCCTCGTCCCCCCGGCCGAAAATCTGAACTGCGCACGCGCTTGCCCCAAGATACTTTGCGGCCGCCCGAGCAGTTACGGATTTTTGGACGGCAGCGCGCGGCAAAGGCAGGGGTAAGTTTAAATTGCTTTTAAAGTGTTTTTAAAAAAAACAAAAACTTTTTGCATATATCTACTACTTGCTAGCAGTAGATATATGCAAAAAAAAAAGCAGAGGGTTTAGAAACCCTTTAAGGATAGTGCTGCCTCAATCTTAAAAAAAAAAAAGAAGTTGCATTTTCAGCAAGCTTCAATAGATGCAGAAGCTTCCCAGAGTCCTACTGAAGCTTCATACAGGCAGCCATCACATTTAGATCTGCATTCAACATTTCCACACTGGAGCTGAAGGACGGTGCACAACATACAAGCCGTAAAAGATGAAGTGGAACGGAGAAGCTGTTAACAAATGAGGAGGGTGTCATAAAACAAGAGGGGAGAGAGAAGGCGATCAGTTTAATTGGTAGAAAATTGGTAGAAAAGGGAGGCTCCTTGGCAGAATACAAGAAAAACAAATAAGAATCATGGGTGAAAGAATGAGAAGAAAAAAAACACAGATGGAACAAAAGAAACCTAAAAAGTGAAGGACCAAAAAGAGACAAAACATGCAAAACAAACTAGGGATGCATCGATACCGGTATTGAGTAGGAGTACTGATAATTTTTTTTCCGGTACTCGCCGATACCGAAAGTCTAATTAAGGAAGCCAGGCGAAGTGTAAAGACTAGCCACACGGCTTCCTGATTAGCAGGGAAGCCGTCCTTCCTTATCAAGTCATTCAAATTGATGGGGAGGTCAAAGCTGTTACCTTGCTTACAACTCACTTCTGCCTTAATACGTTTTTTAGGTTCTGCACTCCTATCAGAATACTAAGCCCAACCTTTGCACGCTAAACACGTTACAACTCAACATCTCAAGCTATACATACCCATATCATCATCAAATATGGACTTGGCTTCCACTTTCTTTTTAGATTTCTTCTCCTTAGGTTTGTGTGTGAGATCAGCAAAAATATCTGAATGATCATCAAACATATTTGCTTCAGATGCTGTCTTCTCTTTTGGCTTTTTCACTGATTTAATGGCTTCTGCTGCAAATATATCATCCTAAAATATTAAAAAGAATGGATAGCCATAATAAATGCTTAGGGAGTTTTACTAAAGATAGTTCAGTAGCTATCATTTTTAAGAAACATATTATAGTAAAAAATCACAACCTCATTTGCAGTCAGAGGCTGGTATGCCATAATCCTGAATCAAACAACACATACCTCAAATATATCAGCTGCAGTCTTAGTGACTTTGGGTGGAACAGGATCCTGAACAGGATCTACTTTCTTCTGAGATTTTTGAGCTCCAAAGAGATCATCATCAGGTTCATTGTCTAGCATAGATGTGGGTTGGAATGTTTTCTTGTGTTTTTCCTTTACTGATTTAAAGAGGTCATCATCACTGCCATCAGCATCAATCACTGAAGCTAAAGATTTATTTCCCTCTTTCCCGGGCTGGCTGGAAGCTTCATTCACAGGAAGCTTTCCTTTCTGCCTGGAAGTACCTGGATCAGGTAATGAATTACTGCCAAAGAGATCAGAACCAAACAAAACATTAACATCAGGAGTGAGCGGATTTACAGGAGCTTTTGGTTTTGTTCTGGACTGTACATCATTCTCAGAGAATGATAGCTTCATGCTGGAAATGGGCTCCTCTTTATCTGGTTGCCAGTTAGACTGAGGAAGTGCAGCTTTAGATGATGTATCTTGTGGGGGAGATATTGGGGATGAATCGCTAATGTCTCCGACTTCACCAGTATCTTGAGATGCATGCTTTCTGCCCATTCTTGTAGGAGGTCTCCTCTTTCCACCAACTTTGGCACGAGACTGAGGAGGAAACAATCATTAATCAAGTTCAGAACAAAAGAACTAATCAACATAAATAGAAAAATAAAAGAGAATATTCAGTAAAATTAACTGCCTCCGGGCCGGCCGTAGTAAAAAAACGGCCGGCCAGGAGCTCTCTAGATCTGAGCGGGCGTCTCTAGACGTCCGCTCAGACACGCCCCCTTGCGCGCGCGAGCGGGAAATGGCCGCAATTTAAAAACGGGCAGCGATGCCCGTTAATATACATGCGATCCCTTGTATTTAGCGACGATCGGTGTGGCCCCCCCCTCCCTCTGCTGTCCCCCCCGCCATTGTCCCGCTGATCCCGGGCTCCGCTGTGCCCGGTGGGAGCCCGGGATCAGCATGTCGCCTGTGACACAGGGGATCAGAGAGAGCTCGGTACACGAGCTCCCTCCGGTCCCCTCTCCTCTGAAAGAATGCGGAAGTGTTGTATAATACATCACTTCCGCATTCTTGTGTCACTCTCCAGCTTCAGAAGCTGGAAAGAAGCTGATGGAGCAGATCTGTGCTTCATCAGCTTCTTTTGGGGGGTCCTAGGTGACATTAGGGGTCTTGGAGACCCCTGATGTCTCCATCAAGAGGACCTGTCACATATTTTGCTATCACATAGGGGGGGTTTATTAGCCCCCGTATGTGATAGCAATAAAGTTTAGTGAAAAGAAAAAAAAAAAAAATTAAAGTCCACCCCCAAAACTGTCACAGTAGTCAGTGGGCTTATGTCAGCTTTTACTCAGGTCTTTCCATCAGCCGTTGTCCTAGCTGGTTACATGTGCAGCACAATGGCAACTGCAGAACTACATTTAGGCCAAGATAGCAATGTGCTCGGCGGATATGGGATAGGATAAGAGGGTTTAGTTTAAAATTCAGCAACAACAAAAATGTAAGACATGATAATTGGTGACAAGACACATGTCGGGATGCACTCTTTGTGCACCTATAGAATCAATATGAGATTTGTCACATTTAGTTGCTTCAGCTGGATTTGGTTATGACCTCATGTTTGCAAATAGTCCCTCCGTAAGCAACTGTCTGGGGGGAACAACTATTTGAGCAAGTTAGAAAACCCCTTATTATCCTGATGCGAGTGGGGGCCAGCATTCCGTTCCCTTCTTGACCCTTCACTCTCTATAGAAAATAGTTTTAAGCTTTGCAAAAAAGTTAAAAGTTTTAGAGCTTCCAGATCATTCAATGATACATTTAATGGGTGACCATATTAATATTTCACTGGAAAAAGGCAAAAAAAAAAAAAAAGTGTTCATACCTTGTTAGCATTATGGAGAGTGTCCACCTGTACAGGGGTTTCAAAGCTTACTCCTTCCCCGCTCTTCGTGGCAACATCCAAGCTTCGACTGCTCTCCGCAACTGGAAAATCAGAAATATCTGCCTCTGGAATAACATTCCTGAAACCTGACAGCTTGGGAACTGCACCTGGTAACAATGCCGCTGGATTGATGAGCAATTTTGCCTGCAAGTAAATGGAAAGCGAATTAGCTAATGCTTGCTAGCTTAATGTGGACATAGTAGATTTTGCAGGACCTGTAAGCAGAAGCCATAGGGAATAATAATAATAAAAAAAAAGTGCTCTGGGACAAGATACATGCACCACCCAAGTAAATCTATTCCGGTTGCAAATATTACCAGTGGGGAAAGAAAAAAAAAGCAAGAACGTTAGTTTCCAATGATATTCTCATTGTCTCAGCGGAAAACGTTGGTGCAGAAGAAATTAGGAAAGAACCGTAAATGTAAAATTCCATAGTTACTTGTAGTTGACCAATTCGAGAGGGACTTTTAGATTTAATGGGTGCTGGCTTTGTGGGTTTCTGTACAAAATGAAAGTAGAATAAAACAGCAGCACATTTTAAAGGCATCATTTATCTGTTACAGAACACTATTGGGTTTTTATCCCTAAGTATTAGGTTTTAAAGTGCACCTTGCTGGTCTCTTTCTGAAAATCCTAGATACCCGAATGTGTTTAACTTACATACTGAGTCTTAAAGCAAAAAGAAGCTTGCTGCCATTAAGTGTTACAGAACTTTTAGAATTCTTTATCTCTATACTTGCTCCAGGTCAGAGACTCAAAGTTTTGAAGCTAAGGATGCCAGGATATCGGTTTTTCGGTATCGAGTACGTGTAGCGATATTTTTTTTTCCGGCACCAAGTGACAAGGAAGCATGGAGCCAGCTTTCTGGCTAATTAGGAAGCTGGGCACCCTGTATTGACTTGTTACCTGGCTTCCTGATTGGTCAAAAAGCTGTCCAATCAGGAATCCGGACAATGTGTCATTACATGGTGCCAGGCTTCATTGATTGAAAAGGAAGCTGGCTCAAAGCTCCCTAGTCACCAGGTGACGAGGGAGCATGAAGCCAGGGGGCGAGTCATTACACGCTGCCCGGTTTCCTAAATGGCAGGGGAGCCAGCTCCATGCCCCCTCGTCACCAAGTGACGAGGGGGCATGGAGCCAGCTTTCTGATATCAGAAGCTCAGGTATCGGGCTAGGCATCAGAGCATTTGGGCAAGTACGAGTACTCGCCCAATTGCTCGGCATCGGCACCGATACTAGTATTGGTGCATCCCTAATTGAAGCCAAGGTGTTATTTTTCCAGCCAGGAAACTAACATACCTGAAAAGAGAGGTCCCCCCCTTCTCTGCAGCAGTCTAAGGGCCCATTAAATCACCACATCTATACACAGTGCATAGACGTGATGGCACTGAGGAAGAGTACAATGCTGCAGTGGAGGAGGAGACATGCTGGAGGGAGCGATGTGAAAGCAGGAAGCCTAGGAGCTTTTGGCGAGTATAACTTTGTTATTCTTGAACCTAGACAAAAACGAGCAGTTAAACCTTTGCAGTGCAGGGGTAGCCCCACCGCAAGGTTTAAGAAAACGTTTTCCTGGAGTTCTTTAAACCATCTGGAAGATAACAACGATGCTTAAGTGCAGGCATCAACTATTTGGGTTATTCCTGAAATCCATCCCAGTGTCCCTGTGAAATCACAATGGATTCTGGCCTGTACCTAGTACCCCAACTACAGCCCAGGTCATGAACTAGCCCCACCTAATCATTCGACTGTCAAAAAACGAATTTCCCAAACATTTCTGCAAGTACCACCAACCAGTCTCAGTTTCCACACTTATACGTTACTGTGCGGGTATATTATCTGGTAAGAAAAAAACGCTGTCATTCTGTGACACGGCAACACTATAGGAAGTGATACATTGGTTTCAGGCTTCTCATAGAGGTCGATTTAGTAATAAAGTTGCATTTGTTATCTTTTCGTTGACGAAAGCACTAAGTCCTGCACACAAGGGCTCCAGTATGTGAAAGAATAATGGGGTGAATTTATCAAAACTAGAGCAGACAAAATCTGGAGCAGATTTGCACTGCCACCAGTCAGCTTCTCTCTCTCATTTTCAAATCTTACCTGAGCAAACAGGAGAGAGATGCTGATTGCTTGCCATGGCAACTGCTCCAGATTCTGTTTGCTCCAGTTTTGATAAATTCCCCCCAATGTATACACATTGTTTCCAACTAGTTATTTTCTTCCCAAATGATATGCAACAAAGCTGCACAAACCTCTCCACCTTCTGTCTTTATTATTGTTTCCTTCTTTGCTACGTTCAAGCTGCTGGGTTCTTTGGATGGTTCCAAACTGGGTTTTTTGACAAAAGTATTCTACAATAAAAAACAAAAACAAATGGAATTTGGTTTTTGCACTTTCTCCAGGCTACCCAAGGTAGGCAACATTTTGGGATTTAAACAGACCAGACAATATCACTTAACATAAAGCAAATGTTGTAGGATACTTTGCATTCTATACTGTATATGCACACCTCACAATGATATACATATTATTTATGTGACTTTCTTCATGTTTTATAGCCCTTATGAACGGAGTGTATGACTGCTGAAGTACATTGGCTTCTTGTGGTTCTTTTTCTAAAGAAAATGTATTATCCTATGACTTATAAGTATTCAGCATTATGTATAAATGAGGTTTATCTGGAGACTGAAAATGCTCCCCTATTTATAGGGTTATACACCCGTCTTTATACTATGTGCCAAAAGTCGGCATTTTGACAATTAAGAAATGCAGTGTGTGGTCTCTTTTTCTCTGTAACCAGTCGGAAAGGGATGAAATAAGCTTGAAGGATAGAGTATGGCTGAGTCAGTCTGTTATTAAATCACCGGGAAAGTGTGGAACTGCGAGAAAACCACCTTGTTCTTACGGTACAGGTCATGGAAGGGAAACCTTTTACTAAATACTTTTAGCTGTACCAAAGCGAATTCAGAATATAACAACTATGATTAGAATGTTAAGATTATAGTAATTCTTCCACTTACCTACTAGACAAGATAATAATTCATCATTTTACATACTCATGGTAAGTGTAAATCACATCTCTACAATTACTTCAAAAGGTTACATCATACATGAATATCAAAGTCACTGTTTCAGCAGGTCAGCTGAACAACAGTGTAGATATGAGATGTCTTAAAGGAGAATTATTGGGAGAATAAAATATACTCTGCTATACTTTGAGCCGGCATGTGACACTGCAGCTGATTGCTCAGCTCAAGGTCTTTGCTATGCAGAGAGCGGTGACCGTCAGTCACCGCTCCCGGCAGGGATTCCCCCTTCCGCTCTTTCCAATCCACCAGCGCTCACTAGAGACAGACAGGGGAGAAACCGGGCAATCAGGCAGCGGGGTGGATCCCGACAATATTGTTGCCGGGATCCTTTCCGGCTGCGGCGTGGCTCTGCACTGTCAGCATTATAGTCGGCAACTGCCAAGTTTGGGTCACAGGAGTACAAAGTACAATCATATCCCAATGAGGTGGTCAATCTAAACTCACTAAAATCTTCCATTTATAAGCAAAATATCTGTATGTGTTCATTCATATTAGTTATACTGCACAAATACTAATTCAATTACTGGAGGCTTCTTGGGCTTAGCAGCACTAAAGAGATCATCTTCATCCTCCTCTCCAAACAATCCTAATCCATCCGATGGTTTAACGGCACTTAGTTCCTCAGTCTGTAATATACAGAACATAAATTAGTAACAAACATTGCCATCTCAAAAAGGGAAATTACCAACATTCTATTCTAAAAGAATACAAGAGAGTTTAGTCAATAATTAATATATGGAGGTTAACTATGGCAATCACATGAATTAATATGTACAAGTATATGGTCCCAACACCATTGATTACATTGATTATTATTTACAAGAACTAAAATGAACCCGCCTGGTCCTAAACACTGGCTAAGCTTTGGAATGTGCAAGTACTTGTGATAATGTACAAAGCAATTCCTTTGTCCCTATTAAGCCCTTGTACGAGTATTTCAGGCCCAGGCTGTATACCAGGACTCGGCATCTAACCAAGACAACACTGAGCCCCCGCCACCATTCATGGCACTGGGTCGCTGAATGGTGGAGCTGGGCTCAGTGTCAAGCTGGACAGAAGCAGAGCACTAGCAGATAACCTGTAATTCAAGCGACCCACAAGGACTGCTTTGGTATTATATCAGGTAATTGCTGACTCGACAAAGATCTTGCTCTTCAGCAGTAATATATGTTTAGCCTATTGCAGGAGGTTCACAGTCTGCAAAGTCTTTCCACAATGTATAAAAACGTTTACATCAAATGAAATAGGGCCAATTCTCTTGGAAAATTACTCAGTTTGGCTGGATTGACCCGTTAAGTAGGATGAATATTTGGCGATTTGAGACATGAAGAGTTCACCATTTTTAACTTGTATTCATAATTAGTTACTTTGAAATGTATGCAAGACATAAAAGAGCAAAGAGAGAAGAAAAGTAGAAAAACTTTTTATCCCAAAGCAGATGATCCAAACAGAAACAATAAGACCAGAACTTACAGCTTTCTTACTACTGCTGGCAAAGAGGTCTACGTCTGGATCATTATCTTTTTGAAGCTCATGACTGAAGAGAAGTTCCTCGTCTTGGAACACACGTGTACTTCTTGCCTGTGTGCCTTTCTCAATAGAGACCTAGCAAATAAAAGAAAGAGGCTGTTACTCAGTGTGGGTTTACTAACCAGTATATCAGTGGGTTCTCCTTGTAGCAATTACATCATATGAGGACCATGCCAGCTTTGCATAAAAACTACAGCAAAAGAACATGGGTTTGGCATCAATCAAAATGGACCATTTTTTAGATCATAGGTATTTGGTGCCAATTTTTAACAGCAATGACCTGGTGCATTGTATGTTTGTGCTTACATTGTTACTGTTAAAATATTATGAGTGGAGCTGCAAAAAAACTTCAACACTGTAGTTGTATTGGCAGAATTTTTGTTAACATTATGACTTCTGGCAATGTATCTTTACACCGTGGTGATGAGCCAACATTATTGCTGCTCCTTCTTGTCCAAATAGGTGACACTTCTATTTTCCCTTGGGTACATCTGCCATAAGATAATTAAGGAAACTGGCCTCTTTCTAAAACAATGCTATCTACCTGTCTGTGTCTAGTTTTACAATGGAGACATGGAACATGCATGCTGTAAATGAGTCTCAGGAAAGAGTCAGCATTCCTTATTTTCATACTGGTTCTGGGTCAGAGACTTAGAAATCATTGAAGCCAGAGCATTAGCACTGCAGCAAGGAAACTAATATTCTCAAGAGATCAGCTATTGCAGCCTCCAATTATTTTCTTATGACACACGTCCTTTGACTTTAATAGAGAAATTCACGTTATACTCCTGGCTGTACTGCCTGGCAGAGCTGTGGGAGTAACAAACGTACTAGGGCTGCAACAACTAATCGACATAATCGATTATAAATCGGTTGAAAAAGTTGACAACTTTTTCAATCATCGATTAATCGGCTTCCAATTAGTTGGCCCCGTTCTAGCTCCACACACGCTGTGCGCCGCACCTCCTCCCCACCTAACGCTCGCCGCTTCCAGACCTGCCCTCCCACATCCACGATCCACACGCCGCACCTCCTCCCCGCCTCACATCCATGATAGGCACAGGGACGCGGGGAGAAGTAAGGAGGAGCAGGTGTGGGGGGATGACAGCCGCCGATAGACAGGCCCGATCTCAGAAGCAAGTTGCTGGAAGACTGCTCAGGTAAGCATGCACTTTCCCCCACACGGTGCTCTATAATCTATTGCTGGGATTTGTATTCCTCTATAGCTGATGGTACATTGTGCTGTATATTATACCATCAGCTATAGAGGAATACAAATCCCAGCAATACATTATACACTGTATGTATAATGTATTGCTGGGATTTGTTGTATTTCTATATAGCTGGTGGTATTCTGCATTGCGCTGTATAGAGGACTACAAATCCCAGCAATAATACATTATACAGCGCAATGCGGAATACCACCAGCTATAGAGGACTACAAAACCCAGCAATAATACATTATACAGTGGTGCGATGCCGAATACCACTAGCTATAGAGGACTAGAAAACCCAGCAATAGTACATTATACAGCGCAATGCAGAATACCGCCAGCTATAATGTACTATTGCTGGGATTTGTTGTATTTCCCTATAGCTGGTGGTATTCTGCATTGTGCTGTATAATGTACTATTGCTGGGTTTTGTAGTCCTCTATAGCCGGTGCCAGTCTGCATTCATTGCTGTATAATTTTACTCTTTTCATTTCACTATATTGCACACCACACTTTTTACTTCCACCGCTCTAAGCTTGCTCCTGTGATGGACTACTAGTTTGTATTGACATTGTCATCCATCACTGGAGCCATTTTTTAAAATGTATTTTATCCGATTAATCGAACGTAATAATCGGCTAACTAATCGATTTTGAAAATAATCGTTCGCTGCAGCTCTAAAACGTACCTGAACAGAGTTACAAATTCAACTGTTAAACATGGTGGGGAATGTCCAGCCATCTACTCTTATGATGGTGCTGCATAGATGCCAAGAAAATATATCAACCCCCCTTTCCTTTAACCACTTGCCGTCCGCCCGTAGTAAAAAAACGTACGGACGGCACTGCAGAAATATGGCCTGGATGGGAAGGGGGTTTAACACCGCGGATGTCAACTGGTTAAAGCAGTAAAAGTTTTACTTAAATAAAAAAAATGGTGTCAAATCCTCATATGTACACTTCAGGGTTTATATGACAACACTGAAGATGGCTTTAAGCAGTAAGGCAAAGAGTGGCCCTTCTCCAAATACTATGGTTCCTTATATTATACTTATTCCTATTATCAAGAGTGAAATGCAGCTACCCTTTCTGAATCCTTTGGAGAAGCACTGGCCGACCGCAAATTTTCCATATCTTCATCATCCCCGTCTCCGAAAAGACTCAGCACATTAGTGCTCTTAGTCTTTGTATGTTTAAGAGTTGGTGGTGAAGCTGCAAACAAATCATCTGACTCTTTCACAGAAACAGATTTTTCCTAGGGACAGAAATCAAAAAGAACTTTCAGACATAGGAGCAACTAAAACTTTACAAAATTTGTGCAGAAATAGAATATAAACGGGACTGGAAACAGTAGACTGACAGGGAAGAAAGAGGTTGATGAAACCAGAACCTTTTTTTTTTTTTTAACAAAGCTGCATTCCTTTTTAGGAAAGAGATAAATAACTGCCTATGTAGTAAAAGCATATTAACATGACATGTAGAAATATACATTAAAATATGCACTTGGTTTTAACCCGACTTGAAATCATCTTACCATAATATTCTTCTGAACTGCAGGTGGTGCTGTATCCTCTACAGTAACAGGAGCCTTGGATTCGGGTTTTTTATCTACGCCAAACAACGATGACTTCTCTGTGTCGACTTTTCCAGGCACCGTCGTCTTTGCTTGTTCCTTACATAAGTGACAAATAGACATTATAGGAAAAAGGTGATAAAATACAAATGTTTATCATTTAACACTTTATTTAGGAGAATTTTTATGTTTAAAAAAAGCAAAAACATAGTGAACACATTTCCTTATTAGGGCCAGGACTAAAAACAAAATTATATATATTAT